GTTATTATTGTGGTGATTAAAAATTGGCCCTAACTGTACATGTTGGGCCTGTTACTGTAATCAAAGAAGGAACACGATCTCTGGACATCGGTAGAGATTTGCTACACTTGACTGTAGGGGTGTGCAAAAATATCGAAATATCGCTATATCGTATCATTCAATGTAATGATACAGTATCAGTATTGTGGGCTGCTGTATCGATATATATCGCCAAGAGTATTTTTTTGGTACATTTTACTTAATTTTTTGTTACAGCGCTACATATTTGTTGCTTGTTCTGAGGAAGGAAACTCGATTATGTGACAAATTTCAATTTTCACTGTTTTTCTTATTTAAAATGTTTGTGTTTCATATTAATTTTGCACAAGAAGTGTTTTAACAAAGACTTTTAGTATCACAGCCATGATTTAGCCTTTATTTTCATTTAACTATATCGAATCGCTTTTAAATATATCATATTGAATTGAAAGCTCACTCTATCGAGATATGTATCGTATTGTGGTCTATGTATCGAGGTATGTATCGTATCGGCAACTTGTTAATGATAACCAGCCCTACTTGACTGTTTGCACACAATGGCTGCCTTTAGATTTCCAGACAGTTCAGCTGTACTGTGAATCAGACAATAGTGCACACAAAAGTTGTCAGGAATCACTCTCAGTGGACTTTTGCATCAGAAAAACAAGTTTTGGAGCTGGGAATCCACGGCAACGTCATGTCACGGTTGTCTGATCTGGAGAGGAGTCGTGTTATCGGTGTGCTGGATGTGGGGATGAGTATCTGAGACGTGGCTGCAGCTCTCCATGTGCACGAGAGAACCACATCCCGTCTGAGGACTCGGTACACGGATAACAGGAAGTACAGCCGACCGTCCACGTAGCGGCAGACCACACGTCACAACACACGACACTAGTGGAAGAACGGAGAAGGACGCCACAGATCTGCATTCGACGCCTGGTACGGTCCATGAGAAGGAGGGTTCTGGCTTGTATTGCAGCTAGGGGCGGCCATACACTATTAGGCATTCGATGAAATTTTCTTATTCCATCGTCGGAAGAATTAACGATCGATTATCAATTAATCATTAACGTTTTTATATTAAACTGATCATCATCATTATTATTACTATCTGCACTAATCTGCATAAATAAATTCAACTTTACGACATATAAACTGTAACGACTCTAGAGCCACATCAGCCCGTTTGACATTATAATGTGTTTAATTCAGTTTTGTTCAACTCTCACAGAAACAAAACTTAAAACCACATTGCTAATTTGCATAAACTAAGTGAAGATAAAACTCCAGCTCGTGTCGCTGATGCGGTTCAACTTCTGTCGGATTAAAAGACATGACTCAGGTGAATACAGGTTAGTGTGACCAGATTTGCGTTTGTCAAAACCAGGACACGTACGGGGGGAGGGGGGCGGGGACTCGTCATCGACATTGAGCGACTCTCACCTGGAAAAACTTTTTCCCACTGGACACAGAAACATATGTGCTGCTTTATACACTGTGCACATGGACTCACACTTGTCCCGAACGCAACGGAAAGCGTGGAATTTCTTGTACAAATCATCGTTAAATACACATTTGCACTTCAGTACGTTAGAGACTGACCCACTGTTTGTGTCTCGCTCCTTCTGATGCAGAGACACATGTACACACCTGTTTGGTCACGATACACACAACAACCTACATTCAGTTTGTCGATTAAAATGAACGTAATCGATTAAATTTTTAATGATCAATTATCGATTAATCAACTAATCATGCCCATCCCTACACGCTATTGATAATTTTTCCACCTTTTTTCAACATTGTTATTACTATACAAATATAACTTGCATTTCTTTTATTTAAGTATATATCGTGAAAATATCATACAGAGAGATTTGGATATTGTTACATCCCTAATCGTGAGCCTCCCCAAAATATCGTGAGCTTTCCCACGATATCGCAATAAATATCGTACTGTGAGGTTCATGCTGTGACGATCTCGTATCGTGAGACTTGGACCCTTGAGACCATTGCACCATTTAAAATACTTTTATTACCTGGGGTTATAATAACGATGTAGTGACTCTTTTTAGGGTGACCAGATTTTCAAAATAAAAAACTGGGACATCCCTGGTTACAACTGTGAAACAAGTGCATAATTAAGGACAACTGTTCTGCACTTGGCACTAACGTGAGTTGGCAAAGTCACATTTACTTTGTGTTTGGTCACTTTTAAGCAGCTTTTTTGTATTTTACTACAACAAATAAGCCTCTTTTTACTGTTGGCAGGGAACAGATTGGTCCAAAATAGGGACATTTCTTGTAAAGCCCGACCGATATATCGGTTGGACGATATTATTGGCCGATATGGCACCTGGAAACATATTGGCCGATACGTTTGCTGATATGGGCCGATATTTCACGTGGGCTCATTATAAATCTTAGACTCTCTACATTATGTTCATTTAATTCAATTTACAGACAGATAAATGTCCTAATATGTGGCTCCACATCAGTATTTATCTGTGGAGTCATTTGTCTGTGTGATGCCGTACTGTCCCTGAACGCACCACAGAGTCACGACACTCACGTGCGCTTACACCCGCACACACAGTTCAGTATAAAATAAATAAACCAGGACTAATCTTGGGCTCAAGAAACGGAGAGAGATAGAGACCGAGTCCCGACACTCAGTCCTGGTTCAGTCCTGGTTCAGTCCTGGTTTAGGTCCTGCTTTAGACCTGGTTTAGGTCCTGCTTTAGACCTGGTTTAGTCCTGCTTTCGACCTGGTTTAGTCCTGCTTTCGACCTGGTTTAGTCCTGCTATAGACCTGGTTTAGTCCTGCTTTAGTCCTGCTTTAGACCTGGTTTAGTCCTGCTTTAGACCTGGTTTAGTCCTGCTTGCAGCAGAACAATCTGAAGAGCTGCTTGGGAGCTGAAAGAGCCAGCTGCTTTTAGTGAGCCGAGCCAAAAGAGCCGGTTCTCTAAAAAGAACTGGAATCCCCATCACTAGTGTCTGGAATGTGATGCAAAAATACCATCAGTCCGACCTACTGTCTGTAAATATGACACAAAGAGGCAGAATAACAATAAATGTTGCCTAAATAAACCCAATTTAAACTCCACTAGAGCCAAACCTAAGTTTTTTAAACAATTCAACATTTACAGTGATTTTTTACATCACTAAATATATCGGCAGCTCCAAATCCTGTTTTATCGGTATCATATCGGCCGCAACTAAATCCATATCGGTCGGGCCCTAATTTCTTGTATAAAACTGGGACAAATCTGCTGGGTCAGGGCTCAAAACATAGACTGTCCCGGGTAAACAACCACGTGATCAGGTCATTGCCGCAATTTGCAAAGAGACGCTTCAAAAAACTGACCTCACATTTACATTATAATGACATTACCAAGGTTGTTACGCACTTGGCACTAATGTGAGTCAGTATCGTCACATTTTCTTTGTGTTTTTGTCACTTTTAAGCAGCTTTTCCATATTTTACATCTACAAATAACAGTTTATGTCTCTCTTTACTGTTGGCAGGGATCAGATTGGTCCAAAATAGGGACATTTCTTGTATAAAACTGGGATGAATATGCTGGGTCAGGGGACAATGGGCTCAAAACTGGTCACATTATTGCTGCAATTTGTAAAGAAAAGCTTCAAAAAACTGACCTCACATTTATATTATAATGACATTACCAAGGTTGTTACGCACTTGACACTACTGTGAGTCAGTATAGTCAAATTTTCTTTGTGTTTTGGTCACTTTTAAGCAGACTTTCTGTATTTTACCACAACAAATAACAGTTTATGCTTCTTTTAACTATTGGTAGGGATCAGATTGATCCAAAATAGGGACATTTCTTGTATAAAACTGGAACAAATCACTGGTTTGGGATAAATCTGCTGGGTCAGGGGACACTGGGCTCAAAACTGGTCACGTTATTGCTCCAATTTGTGGAGAAATGCTTTAAAAACTGACCTCACATTTATATTATAATGTCACTACCAAGGCTGTTATGCACTTGGCACTACTGTGAGTCAGTACCGTCACATTTTCTTTGTGTTTTGGTCACTTTTAAGCAGCTTTTCTGTATTTTATCACAACAAATGTCTCTCTTTACTGTTGGCAGGGATCAGATTGGTCCAAAATAGGGACATTTCTTGTATAAAACTGGGACAAATCACTGGTTTTGGATGAATCTGCTGGGTCAGGGGACACTGGGCTCAAAACTGGTCACGTTATTGCACAAATTTGTGGAGAAACGCTTCAAAAAACTGACCTCTCATTTATATTTTTATGACATTATCAAGGGTGCAGTCGCTGGTGATGATTGCAATGCATTCTTAAGCTCGTTCAGTGGTTTATTTTCATTTTATTGCAAGGCGACCTTTGCTTTAGCCTTTCTGATCATGTTGATTCATTGATTCTCCCCGCACGAGCCACTACGTACTTTTACGCACGTAGCATTTAGTTTAGCGGCGACGTTTCCGAGCCACAAAACAAGCAAACAATAAATTCTAAACCCAAATCCATTCACGACATGCTGCGTTTTCCATTTGACACCAACAACAACAACATCACAGCAGCTCAACCCTGTAGCACTTTAGCCCGCGTGCTAATGTCGCATCCGTGTCGGGATTACCCACTTTTACGCACACCCACGCGTAACAGTGCGACTCAAAAAGCCTCTCTGCGCATTAAAGACGCGTGAAAGAGCGCGCTGGCTTGACTGTTACTAAAATATCGGCGTGGAGATTTGCAGGACACAACATCCAGCAGAAGGGAAGCTAGCGTTTGTTGCAGGTTTAGCATCGTTAGCTCCCAGCCAACCCCCCCCCACCGCCGCCGCCGCCGCTGGTTTTGCAGGGGGCATCCGGGAGACTGAGCCAAAACGCACCGAAATGACACGAACACGGTCGGGTATTTTAGGATCCCGCGGGTCCAGAGCGCGTAACCGAGCGGCAAAACGCGTAAAAGCGCACGGGTTTACCTCGGGATGGAGAATGGGGACGCAGCCAGCTTCTTTCTCGTATTCCTCCATAGCGTCGGCCATCTTGGTGTTGGAGTGCGCAAAGCATCGTGGGAAACGAGAAGCGGCGGCGGCGGGAGGGGGTGGGGTTGGGGGTGAGGGGGGGGGACACAACAAACAGAGGACCACAGAGGAGGAGGAGGAGGAGGAGAGGGATGGAGAGGATGAAGAGGAGGAGAGGCCAGCCACACCAGTCACTGCAGTAATAATCTGTATCGTAATCAGCAGCACACGCCCAGGATTACATCTCTTCCTATCTTTTTTTACTACTTATTTAGAATTTATTATGACTATTACTCAGTGTTAGGGAGTAACAGATACCATTTACCGGAGTTATGTAATCAGAGTACAAATTATGAGTAACTGTATTCAGTTACAGTTACTTTGTTGAAATAAATGGATTACACAGAGGTATTTTCCTGTTTTCACATTTTGGACTATATCCCTTTTTTTTTTTTTTTTTTTTTTTTTTTCAGTAATTCCACTCATTGCCGGACACTAAAACAGGTCTAAAACCAGGTCCAAACCAGGTCTAAACCAAGACTAAACCGGGACTAAACCAGGTCTAAATCAGGTCTAAACCAGGACTAAACTAAGACTAAAACCAGGTCTAAACCAGGACTAAAACCAGGTCTAAACCAGGACTAAAACCAGGACTAAACCAGGACTAAACCAGGAACTAAAACTAGGACAAAACATCTTATATTCAGATTTCCTGGTCTTTGCTACTTTACAGTAAACAGTTGCTACTTATTTTAGAATTTATTGTGACCATTACTCAGTGTTGTGGAGTAACAGATTACATGTACCAGAGTTATGTAATCAGAGTACAAATTATGAGTAACTATATTCAGTTACAGTTACTGTTTCAGTGAGTGGTAATTGGATTACAGTTACTTTGTTAAAATAAATGGATTACATATTGGTATTTTACTGTTTTCACATTTTCACATTTTGGGCTAAATCCCACGTCTCCTTCCGTAAGGAGCAGACACCACCGTTCTCCTGTGCGTCTCTAAACCAGGACTAAACCAGAACTAAACAAGACCAGGACTAAACTAGGACTGAACCAGGTCTAAACCAGGTCTAAATCAGGACTAAAACCAAGACTAAATCAGGACTAAACCAGGTCTAAACTAAGACTAAAACCAGGTCTAAACCAGGACTAAACCAGTCCAGGACTAAACCAGGACTAAACTAAGACTAAACCAGGACTAAACCAGGACTAAACTAGGACTAAACTAGGAACTAAAACCAGGACTAAACCAGGACTAAACTAGGACTAAACTAGGAACTAAAACCAGGACTAAACCAGGACTAAACATCTTATATTAAGATTTCCTGGTCTTTGCTACTTTACAGTAAACAGTTGTTTATTCATGGAGACTTGGACTCAACAGACAATTTGAAGAGAACAAACAAGAATTTTCAGGATGTGGTTTGTTACATTCATGTAGTTTTAAAAAACATGACAATATCAAGTAATCCAAAGTATTCAGATTACATTACTCACTTTAAGTAATTTAATGGATTACGTTACAAACTACATTTTGGTGTATGTAATCTGTAATCTGTAGGGGATTACATTTTAAAAGTCACCTTCCCCACACTGCCATTACTCTTTGTTATTATATTATATTGTGATGTGTGAGCTGCTGTGTCCAAATAATTCCCCTTGTGGATCAATAAAGTTTGTCAAAGTCTAAAAAATAAAGTGACAAAACAACAAAACAAATGTCACACTATATGCATTCTCTCACACTCTCAAGATTCAAATATTCAGCACTTTGTCCCATTTTTTTTTAGGAGAAAAGAGGAGAGAGGAGGGTGTAACAGGATTACATCTGATGAACTCACTGCGGTGTAAATAAAGTGACAAAACAACAAATCAAAAATCAAACACAACAGATTCCAGGCACCAGTGTTGGGAAGGTTACTTTTAAAATGTAATCCCCTACAGATTACAGATTACACACACCAAAATGTAGTTTGTAACATAATCCATTAAATTACTTAAAGTGAGTAACGTAATCTGATTACTTTGGGTTACTTGATATTGTCACGTTTTTTTAAACGACATGAATGTAACAACCACATCCTGAAAATTCTTGTTTGTTGTCTTCAAATTGTCTGAGCCCAAGTCTCCATGAATAAACAACTGTTTACTGTAGAGAAACAAAGACCACGACATCTTAATATAAGAGGTTTTGTCTGTTAAAAGACAGAAACAAGATCAGACTTTCCTTCACCAGATTAAAAAATATTGATAGAGAAATAATTTTTTACATGAGATCACCTTAAATTATGTCAACCTACTGTTAGGTGTCATGTTGTTTAGTCCTGGTTTAGTCCTGGTTTAGTCCTGATTTTTAGACCTGGTTTAGTCCTGGTTTACTCCTGATTTTTAGACCTGGTTTAGACCAGGTCTAGACCAGGTCTTTAGTTCTGGTTTAGTCGTGGTTTAGTCCTAGTTTAAACCTGGTTCAGTCCTGCTTTAGTAATGGTTTAGTCCTGGATTAGTTCTGGTTTAGTCCTGGATTAGTTCTGGTTTAGTCCTGGATTAGTTCTGGTTTAGTCCTGGTTTAGTCCTGGTTTAGTCCTGGATTAGTTCTGGTTTAGTCCTGGATTAGTTCTGGTTTAGTCCTGGATTAGTCCTGGTTTAGTCCTGGATTAGTCCTGGTTTAGTCCTGGTGTTAGTTCTGGTTTAGAGGCGCACAGGAGGAGGTTTACGCGAGAAAACACAGTCCACACGCGGCGCACGAGACGTCGGTGTCTGCGCAGTAACTACGGAAGGAGACGTGGTCCACGGGTTCTCAGGTTGATGACGATGATGAAGGTGTGTGTTTGTGTTTGTGTTTGTTTGTGTATGTTTGTGTTTGTGTATGTGTGTGTTTGTGTATAGGACAGTAGTGCAGATATTATGAGTCTATGCAGGTTGTTTTCACCAGGGCCAGTAGCTCCTGTTTCACATTTAAGTTGTAGGTGATTTTATATTTGTTTTTTTTATATATTTCTCACATCGGGAGAAGAATTTCCAAGACACAAATGCGTTTTTACCAATGCACTGCTGCTTCCACTGTGTGACTGACACCGCCAACTTTAACATGACGTTTACATCACTCTTATTGCGTGCGTTCTGTTTGGGCTTCAGGCAATGAGTGAAATTACCGAAATAAAAAAATAAATAAATGCGAGGTAGCTCAAAATGTGAAAACAGGAAAATACCGCCTTGTAATCCACTTATTTCAGCAAAGTAACTGTAATCCAATTACCACTCATTGAAACAGTAACTGTAACTGAATACAGTTACTCATAATTTGTACTCTGATTACATAACGGCGGTACATGTAATCTGTTACTCCGCAACACTGCCAGGCACTCCATACAATCTCCAAACAATCTTCATCAGGGTTTCTCTTAAGCCCTGATGAAGACCAGTTAAGGTCGAAACATGTTTGGCCATTCAAATAAAGGCCTTTTAACTATATTTTTCCTGCGATTTGTTAACTTTTTCTACTTTTTTGGAGTGCCTGGAATCTGTTGTGTTTGAGTTTTGATCCTGTTTCCAAGAGCGCCCTCTAGTTGCTCCTACTGATTGGAACACCTGCAGCAAACAGCCACATTTTTGTTCTTTCAACAAATCATAAATGTCAAACTATGCATTATTTTTGCATTAAAGGTTGTATAGAGGATTTTTTAAGGGAAGAGAAATACAGCGACGCTCCCTATTCAGATGTTGTTCATGCATGACACCACCTTCCTCCTCCACAGCTCCTCAGTAGAAACAACTCCTCCCGCCTCCTGACTCCAGAAATCACGCTTGTTTACAGCCAGTGCGCGTTCAGAATTACTGTTGAAGTGACCTGTCTAGAAGTAATTTAGCGACTGATGCGTCAGTTTTTAGACTCCTCGTCGGCTTCAGTCGCGCCATCGCTGGAAGGAATCTCCAAGAAGCACCTCAGTTTGGCTTCGCTCCTTTTCCCCTTCTCTTCTTCTTTCAGTGACCTCAAAACTGTCTTTTGCGGCGAACTGGTCGTGGATTCTCGTCCACCATCGCAACAAACTTTGTGCGAATTGTGAGGAAGCGACAGTTTGAAAAAGCCTCCAAGAACCGCTGCATAAACCACGTAATCCCCGCACGCCGATGAGTCAGTTACACTAGAAACGTAGGGAGTTTGACTGACAACCTAACAGCCAATAGATAAAGAGGTGGTCTCATTATCTATTGGCTGATGTTTCTCTGGCCTCACTACGTCCACAGTTGATAGATTTTCATTCTTTTTTTTTTTGGTCATCATAATTACAAGGCTGTTGCATGTCTGTAAGGGTATTTTAAACTTTCACTGACAATTTGAAACTAAAAAAAAAATCCTCCATACAACCTTTAATGCTGGAGAAGAACAGCCCGATTCATCAGACGGTGTCACTTCGTGGAAACCGTGTGACCTCGCAGCATTAGGATTCATTCGCTCGACGGTAGACGGGTACTTTTTTAATTTAACCAGTCCCTGCTATTTGGTCGTGACGTATGTAATGCACCAAATCCCGTAGGAAGAAGGACAATAACGTCTTTCCAGTTGATAAAATTCACCAAACATTCTCTTTGTTTCCGCTTTAAATCCTCGATCTCGGGAACACAGAATGTCTGTCTTCGTCTACATCCATCTCGACACTTTGTTTTACTGTTGTGCTGTTCCACAAAAGGGACACAGACAGACGCGACGAGTTTGACGTCATGGCTTCACAGCTCTTCTCTGATTGGCCGGTGCGCGGTCTACAACTCCCGGGGTTCTTGCAAAACCGTCTAGTGTATTCTGACTCCTGACCTGGAGAGAAATGAAATTGAGTGGAGACACTAGGTGGCGCCAACCTGGTTAGGAGAAGAGTAGTTGTTTGTACGACTCTCGAGATTCAGCACTTTTTTGTCATGGCTGTTGCTCCCCTCCCTCTGTTCCCCTGTGTGTGTGTGTGTGTGTGTGGGCGGAGTCTCCTGGACCTCTGATTCAAGAGCCAACCACTTGAGACCTGCTC